GTGTCAGCTCACGCTCCGAACCGTGTACGCTGTACGCGCTTGTGACGCGACGTCTTACGGTGGTCTGGAACCTGCGGGCCATTTTTTTTCTCAGCAGCATAATTTCGAAAAATGATTGGAGTATATGTGTTTTTTTTTTCGAGTCGATAGCTGGCGCAGAAGCCAATTATTTCCGAATTTGTTATAAAAAAAACAAAAAAAAATCGACCAAAATGAAAATTGTACAATTGAAAAAAATAACAAAGAATCTATGTCAAAACAAGATTCCAACGCTAGTTAAATCGTTGGAATCGGATAATTAGTTTAGCCATAATGATTTTTTTTTATTTTTTAATTACTAAAAACTTTTACTTTTAATATCATGAATATGTCAATTGAAAATTTTTTTTTTACAAAATCCTTTAGGATTTGTGTTAGTGATGTAAAATACTATCGAAAAAATGTATCTACAATCAAAAACTAATTTTGACCTAATTCAGGTGGCCCGTTTGAGAAATTCTGACCCAGTTACAAACTAAATCAAGGAGTAGAAAATTTGACAGATAATCCACGTGAGTACCAAGAAAAATGTAATTTTTAGTTTGGCGCCTTATAAAACAAAACATAATGAATGCAAATTATTTTTGTTTATATCAGTATAAAGCTTATTTATTTTTAAATAAAATACAAAAAACAAGGCTCCAAGTCAATTATTAAGGTCACAAATTAATTTTAATTAGAAAAGTACCATTCCAGACCACCGCAAGCGCGTACAGCATACACGGTTCGGAGCGTGAGCTGACACCGCGCGCGGCCACAAAAGGACGAATAACTTTTTGTCAACCTGCGGGCCATTTTTTTTCTCAGCAGCATAATTTCGAAAAATGATTGGAGTATATGTGTTTTTTTTTTCGAGTCGATAGCTGGCGCAGAAGCCAATTATTTCCGAATTTGTTATAAAAAAAACAAAAAAAAATCGACCTAAATGAAAATTGTACAATTGAAAAAAATAACAAAGAATCTATGTCAAAACAAGATTCCAACGCTAATTATATCGTTGGAATCGGATAATTAGTTTAGCCATAATGATTTTTTTTATTTTTTAATTACTAAAAACTTTTACTTTTAATATCATGATTCATGATTCATGAATATGTCAATTGAAAATTTTTTTGAGTATGAGTATGAGTATAAGAGACGTATAACCAGCCCCATTTCCTCTTGACTCTCGAACCCCGTACAGGCCTATGTTTACTTACGCCGATTTTTGTTCTTCCCCAGCAACTGCACGGCTTCACCCGTGTTTGCTGGGTGCGAATGTCCATTGCGTTCCGTACTGTCCCCTATTTGGGGCTCGAGAGCGAGAGGCGAATAGTTATAATAGCCATTCCCGGGTTCGCCGAGCCTATGCTATACGCTCGGTGGGGTATGGATGAGGGACGGGAGGGAGTTGGTTTTTGGGGGACAATTACGCCGACTTAAAACTAAGTACGACGCGGAATCCCCCTAGACCAGTCGATTAGTAATACTCCAAACATTTGGGATTACTATTTGGAGTTGGGGAGTTGTTATTTCGCTGCAGGGGTGTAGTTTCCTAGTCAAGGTCTTTGTCTTGTTCGTTATTGTCATTGTCCGTGTTCTGGTCAGATAGTTCCTGCCCTTGGTAAAGTGTGTCAGTTGTTTTTAATATTTTTGTCCCAAGCACATTTTGTGGTAGAGTTCCGTCTTTGTTTATCAAATTCCAAAGCTTGCATTTATTCACTAGTCAAACAAATCACAAGCGCGATTATTCTGTTGTCTAATGTTTACAAATCTCGAGTTTGGCTATTAGGCCCTTTTTTTTAATGTGTTAGAATTATGTGTTCAATGTTAGTTTACTCTGTCAGTCCAGTGTTTATTTCGGTCTCGATTGGGACCGCCTTACGCATTTGCTGTTGACAGACTTATTGCCCCACGCCGCGTGCCCTTCATGGGTTTTAAAGATATCCCAATAAACACTTTAACGATACCTAACACCATTAACATTGCCCGTGTAAGAATTTTTAACACTTTTTAATACAATTTTGCAATGATAGTAATTAAAAACAAAACAATTGTTTAAAGTTCTTAACATAATCATATTTTAAAGTTATTTTAACATTTTCAAGTAAAATAAATGTTATGTTTAATGAAATGAATACGGGCAATGTTAATGGTGACAAATAACGGAAAATGCTTGCCGTATTTATATTGCAGATTTGTATCAGGTCATGCATACTCTTAAAGTAAAACTTATCAGATTTTTCCCTTTGCGGATGGCCACCTCCCCTCTTCTCCGACCTCCCCCGTCCGTCCAGTGAAAAGCCTCCAATGACAGGTGGCACCCAAGTCATTCATATTACCCAACACTCCACTCCTCAATGACCGTTACACCATTTAGCTTGCACTCCATGAAAATGTTTGTTTCACTTATCAGTTCGCACCCCTTTTTTTTTAATTATTGTTGGTTTCATCTTTAAACTTTTACGTTTCAAGAGCTCGCCCGCGTGACGCGACTCGTCTTCTCGAGAGCTGGAGCCGAACTGGGTTCCCAGGATATGTCAATTGAAAATTTTTTTGTTTACAAAATCCTTTAGGATTTGTGTTAGTGATGTAAAATACTATCGAAAAAATGTATCTACAATATAAAACTAATTTTGACCTAATTCAGGTGGCCCGTTTGAGAAATTCTGACCCAATGAGGATGATCTTACTCTAAATAATAAGAACTCATACGTAGATAGGCTTCTTTTGAGGTGTCCAACAACCAATTTTTCGATAACATAAGTCCAAAAAAGAATAATAGATTTTTTTAATCACCCTAATATTCGTATATTCGTATATATCGTGTTATCTGCTCACCATAATAATAGATTTTTTTAATCACCCTAATATTCGTATATATCGTGTTATCTGCTCACCATTGCTATCATTCTAACTCCGTTATAAGAATTTAGGTAAATGTTCAACTCTTGAAATATCACAACTAAACGCTCGGACACGTAAACATAATTTTTAGTCGTAGATTCCAAATCCGTGCTCGATTTATCTGTATCAGGTCTAAGAAGGGGCACACCTTATACTGGTATATTATAATTTGTAAAATAATATATTTCACCTCTTGTGCCAACATTCCTATGCTTTTTATTTCAATTATACTCAATAAAAAAATTAGCAAAAAAAAATTTTGAATTTCCTAAATTATCACCTAAATAGTAGTTTTATCGCTGCAAAACTGAAAAAGCAACTCGTTTTCTGAAATCTCAGGGACCTCTGTTCCTTTTGATCAATTAACTTCAAATTTTGCAATAATTTGTTTTTTTTAATTTGAAACTGATGTGTGGATGCAGCCAAATTAATTTTTTTTTTATTTATATAGGGTGTTTACATTTATACAAGGTGTTTTCAATATCTTTGAATTTTGACCTGATACAGCTAAACCAAGCACGGATTTGTAATCTACAACCAAAAATTAATTATAAAGTTAAGTAAACTTAAGTTTAGTAAACTTAGTTTACGTGTCCGAGCGTTTAGCTGTGATATTTTCACCTTCCTACAGTGTAATTAGAGATACAAAATCGATTAAATTAGCAAATTGGTCGCATTTGTTATTCTGATTTGAATGGCAAAAACAAAAAACAATTGAACATCGGGTTTCCGAAATAATCACAAAAATATAATTTTTTTATACTTTTACATATTTTAAAAGACAACAAATTTTAATTGACAAGCATTTGTTGGTCCTGAAAATATTGAATAAATATAGGGTTTTAAAAAGTTATTTTAAAGTGGTATTTTTTAATATCTCCGAAAGCACCTTGAATAATATTTTCAATTTTAGTTTGTAGGCTGAATATAAAGTTTCATAGTTTAGTTGTTCCATTGCTTCACTAGTGGCGTCTCTGCATGTCCTCTGATATTTTTTAGAAAAAAGTGGTATACTGACATTTTTTATGGGAATATTTTTTCTTATTAACCATATTGCGATTTTTCTTGATTAAAACAATTGCTTCCTTTAACAGTATAACACGAGATCAACCAAACGCTAAATCCTAAGTAATTTGGTGGGCTAGAATTGACTAGGCTAATCAGGAAAAATATCTCCAATGGAGATTCTCTATTAAAACATTTCTGTGGGGTATAAGTTTTTTTATAAAAAATATCAGTGGGCATAAGTTCAGAACGCCCCTGGTGAGGCAAAGGAACAACTTTTGTAACTAAAATATGTACCTACTAAAGGTTTTTAAATAATTTAATAATCACTTGCATGTACAGGGTGATTCCCTATAATGTCGCCCCCCTTTAAATTTTTTATTTTTAGTGTCCCAAAAAATTTAAAAGTGTGGTTATGTAGGTACTAAAAAATACTTTTTTTCTATTTATAAAAAATGGAAAAATGGTCAATATACAGGGAAAAACAAAAAGTTTATTTTTTTCAATGGATCACCCTAAATATGAATTTATTTTTCGATTCCTTGTAAAATTATGAGCATAAATTTTTATTGAAAATAAATTACTATAGTGACATTATGTCAATATGTCTTGTTAAATAAGTAAAAATAGCATACTCAGACAGAGAAAGACAAACTATTTCAAATTATTATCTTAAAAATAATTTAAATATTTCAGAAACGGTTGAATTTAGGTAGGTATATGGTATGTTATATGAAATATGCTTAGAATTTTACAAGGAATCAAAAAATAAAAACATATATAGGGTGATCCTTTAAAAAAAATAAACTTTTTGTTTTTCCCTGTATACTGATCAATTTTCCAATTTTCTTTATAAGTAGAAAAAAAGAATTTTTTAGTACCTACATAACCACACTTTTAAATTTTTTGGGACACTTAAAATAAAAAAGTTAAAGGGGGGCGACATTATAGGGGATCTCCCTGTACCTAGGTAACCGTTTTTTACGCATTTACAAAACCTGTATATCGACTTATGTTTTTAAATAATAAGTATATTTGGATATGTAAATAATAATTTCTTTTTTTTACAGATTTTTCCAAAATGACAAATGAAAAATCCAAATCCATTTTTATTTTAGATAATTTTAGTTCTACGTAAGTATCTACATCTTTTTTAATGACGACATGATTATGTTATTTTTCTAATTTTAGAGCAACTTTAGCTAATAATGAAGTAAGTGTACCAGTAGGAAGTCAAGATACACTAAACGAAAAAGTTTACGATCCCTATGAACATAGGAATGTCTCGCATCCGAATACGTGAGTAGTATTATATTTTATTTAATTTTTACGCAGTTCAATGTGTTGTAACATAACTTAATATGCATTTATGTCTTATAATTTTCATAATACATTTATTGTGGCATTGGCCTAAATATACTTTTTCAGAATTATTCTTATAGAAGGTTTATTAACTTAAATTTTAGTTATTACTTACTAGGTAGGTAGTTGTCCCATGAAGACTACATACGTACCATTGTTCCCAAAAATTAAAAGATTTCAATATAAACGAGAAAAAGCTTTAATTTTTTTTTATATTTGCTCAAATAAAAAATGTGGCATCGTTTTTCCATGTTCAAAAATTCACAATATACAATTATACAATTATACCAAGGTTAACAACCTACCAAACTTAACTTAAACTGCTTCAGCATTTTATTGGGCACGATTTAATCGTTTATTGTTGGCCATCGTGATTGCACAAAAAGGCGAAAGGCTAATTATCGGCCAAGTTTTGACCTGAGCCATTTCTCTGGGTTTGAGCCATTTTAACACTCGTTTTAGATCTGTTGTTTTGGAAAAATTTTAATTAAAAAAAAAAAAATTTAAACACGGTGTAAATTTGTTCTGGGGTAAACAAAATTATTTGTAAAATAACTCATTTTTAATGCTGCTCAAAAAATTAACGATTTGGTAACCCTCTCAATCCTTTTGAGAAAAGTTCCAAATGATGATAAACCTTTTAAGCATTATTATTTTACAAATAATTTTCCTAAACCTAGAAAAATATTTTACTAATTACTAATTATAATTAGTATTGGTAATTTAGTTACTGTAATTACCATAGTAATTGCAATTTCAATTGTAATGCAGTAAATTACAGTCTGTAATGTTAATCGTACAATTTTTGAAAGCGATTTTTACCAAAACTAAACGAAACATTATTTTATAACAAGTTAGATATTTATATGGTAAATAATTTATCAAAAATTTAGCAAATTTTGCCGACAACGCGTTTCACACGACAACTACCTTAACATAACATTTTTTAATTATTTAAAATTATTTTTTTAGGTTTTCAGGGGCTTTAATACATTTGTTAAAAAGTTCACTGGGAACTGGAATTTTAGCTATACCAAGGGCCTTTATGAGTGCAGGTCTTGCCGTAGGGTTAGTAGGAACAGTACTTATAGGAATATTATGTACTTATACCATTCACATTTTGGTAAGTACACATACATATGTAAATAATTATGTAATTGTTTTTATTTGGATAAATTTAAGTTAGTTAGGTATTTACTTTAATTCATAAAATTGGCAGTTAAAGATGACGTAGTTAAATTAAGATGTATCTTAAGAAATTATGTAATTTAACAAACATTTTGTATTATACAAAAATACCTGGTTTACCCAGGACAGGTTCTGGTTTTTGCTAATGTGTCCTGGTTTTAATTATGTACTGGTTTTGTCCTGGTGTTGCAGATTTGGTCCTGGTTTATACTAATTGTTTTATTATTGACATTATTAGCAATTTTTTCTAAAGTGGTCGGGGCTCAGGTTAAAAATTGATTTTAAAACCTAAAACTTTGTAGTACATTTAGAAGAGAAAACAAGTAAGAAAAATCCTCGTTTGAAAAAAAAATGACTTTTTTTCACTTTTTTAGGATTTGTTCTTTTATTTTTTTAAAAAGTGGTCGGTGCTCAGGCTCAAAATTAAGTGCCTACCTTCAGAAGAGGTAAAAAGTAAGAAAAAACCTAGTTTAAATTTTTTTTAAATTATGATTTTTTACCACTTTTTTTTAAGTTGTTTAAGTTTTAAATCTAAAACTTTGGAAATACATTTGAGTAAAAAAGTAATAAAAACCTCCTTTGAAATTTTTTTTTAAATTACGAGGTTTTTCTCACTTTTTTAGGATAATTTCTAATTAAAAAAAAGTGGTCGGGAATTTGGTTAAAAATTAATTTAAAAATCTAAAACTTTGGAAGTACATTTAGAAGTGTAAAAAAGTAAGAAAAAAACTATGTTTGAAAAAAAAATATATAAAAAATTATGACTTTTTTTTACTTTCTTAGGATTTGATCTATTATTTTTTTAAAAACAAGATCAGGGCTCAGGTTAAAAATTAATTTAAAAAATCTGAATTTTCAGGATATTTTTTTATTATTGACGTGATTAGCACATGTTTTTTTAAATAATAAATATTAAATAAAATAAATAAAAGGAGGGGTATTTTTGTTCTGGTTTTTCATTTAAAAATCTCCAAAAATTGCGTTACGTAATACTTGAACGCTCCCTAAATTGTGGACAGCTTAAATATTTTGGGGCGCTTTTGTGTCTAGTAATGACTCTCAAACTCATATATTAAGCATAAATGTGTTCGACAACTTGACTGGAAAGTAGTAATTACAAAACTAACTTAAAAAACATACAAAAACGTTGTAAATGTGACTTCTCCACATGTGGTTATTTAGGAGTGCCAACGTACAAACTTAAAATTACTAAAAAAATACTAGAAAAGGATAACAGACAAAAACAACAACTAAATAAAAACAAATAGTATGAATAGTTAGATTTAAGGTTACAATTGAGGCGTTTCTCGGAAAAACATCATTAGTCCAAAATCGTCGAAATTTAGATATTAGCACCAACTGTTTCCTAACCTCTATATATACATACGTATACAAATAAGTGTTTCTCGTAAAAATGTCATAGGTTCCATAATAATTAAATATGAAATTTAGCTTGTTCTTCTTAAAACATCACAAGTCCACTCCGTTTCGTCTAAGAAAGTCACATGTGCATAACATGTGACGTTTTTGGACACTCTAGAAAAGCTTCTACCTCTTTTACATGACCACAGCAATAGAAAATTTTATGATAACTTGATAAAAGACCAGAAGACCATAGCACCTGACAGTCCTGATAACACGGTCGACAACGATGATAACAGCAGTGGATGCGAAGACTGAGTGTGGCAGTAATACAGTTTTTAGTTTTTTCATTTATTTTGTTACTCAGAGTTAATATTTAATTAACTATAGTTTGTAGTGTTTGTAGTAAGGAGAATTGTTCGTTTTTTTCTTCTAAAAACCTCACATGTTCATGTATTTTTTGTGTTTTTTTTCATATTAGTCGAAAAAAAAAACATGAGGAATTCTGGACAAAGTATCTTACATTTTTTTACATGTAGTAAACAGGTCAATAAAGTACTTTGGTCAAAAATGGGAATGTCGGAGAGTTTTTTTCATTTTCCCAAACATGTTAATTTTGGACTAATGATGTTATTCCGAGAAACGCGTCAATTTTATTACACGTGCATAAAGCAAGAGTTTAATATAAATAATTAATAAATATTTTAACAATAAATATAGATAATAAAATAATTAATTAATTCAACAGGATTAAACGATAACCAACAAAATGCATCAGATAAGATTGTAAATACCGCATGAATGACATAAAGCATAAATAACATATTATGTCATAAAACAACATAAATCATAAATGCATAGCCAACTATGCATATAAAAAAATAATATAGTGTTGCTTCCAATAGTGTTTCATTTCCAAACTTTTAGTATTAAATAATACATATTTATTTTTATATTTAAGATAACTTTATATTAATATTGTAGTGTATTCTAAATTAATAGTATATTATGTATTGTTTAATAAACGCCTTTGTAGGCACGAATTTAATGAAATTAATGAGTGTCTAGAAAAGTTTATAAACGAGTTCATATAAACTTTTCAAATATTGGCGTTAAGAAACTATTTGATGCTTTAGTATTTTTGTTTTAAGATAATAAAATAATTTTTACATTTAGTATAATTTTACAAGAAGGGCACTTTATTTTAACGATTGTAAGACATTTGACAACTATCGTGAATCAAAACCTGTTGCTAACTTCAGCCCGTGAGTAAAACGCCAAAAAGCCACAACTTGTCATGTGTCATGGAAACATGTAAGATAATGGAGGTTTTAAAGGTGGGAGTAGAAAATAGTATATTATGTGTATTATTTATTTTAACGATTGTAAGACATTTGACAACTATCGTGAATCAAAACCTGTTGCTAACTTCAGCCCGTGAGTAAAACGCCAAAAAGCCACAACTTGTCATGTGTCATGGAAACATGTAAGATAATGGAGGTTTTAAAGGTGGGAGTAGAAAATAGTATATTATGTATCAAGTTTGATAAACGCCATTTTATACACGAATTTAATTTAGGCACGAGCAAGCTTGCGAGCGAGTTCTTAAATTAATGAGTGTATACCTAGAAAAGTTTATAAACGAGGTGCATACTATACTTTTTCTACGACAAATACTTATTATTATCTTAAAATGATTTAAATCAAAAATTTGTATAGAGCGCCATCTATGAAACAATACGGGAATCTGTTTGACACCGTCAAATGTCAATTTTTTTATTTTATAAACACAGATTATAAATCGAAAATATTTCTTGATAATTGACAGTTTTTCACAGTGAAAGTAAAGAAAGTTCGTGTCCGAATTTAAGTTATAGTTTACTGCCGGCGAAATTAAAAGGTCAGTACAATGTTCATATAAACTTTTCAAATATTGGCGTTGAGAAAATATTTAATACTTTTGTATTTTTGTATTGAGATAATAAAATAATTTTCACATTTAGTATTATTTTACAAGAAATAATACAAACAATTTTAAATTTAGTTTTATTTTACAAGAAGGGCACTTCATTTTAACGATTATATGACATTTGACAACTGTCAACTAACTTAAGCCCGTGACTAAAAACCTGTTGCTAACTTCAGCCCGTGACTAAAGCGCCATAAAGCCACAACTTGTCAATGTGTATTTAAAAGGTCACTTAGTGTCATGGAAACATGTACGATATAGGGCGTTTTAAAGGTGGGAGTAGAAAAACTTAATTATGACACTTTACTATAAAATAAAATATTAATCCTTAATAATATGAAGTTAATATTTATGATTTGTTAGTACGAAAACTTTACTTCTATAATTTTTCCCCCTTAAGTGTAAAACTTAACAATTCTTATTTGACAAACAGAACTCAATGTGTTCTTAAAAATAAGTTTTCTTCTAATTTGCCCCTGCATCACGGTGTTCCGCAGGGTTTAATTTTGGGACCCTTACTCTTACTTATATATATATATAAATGATCTGCCTAATAACCTATTAAATGCAGATAACATAACTTTATTTGCTGATGACACATCATTCGCAGTTCATGACAGATCCCTTGATTCAAGGGCCTTGAACTAGCAATGTCAAAGAGTCTGAGCACGCAATCGGAGGCTTTAAACTGGTTTAACTCGAACCGATTAAGTTTAAATACGAAAAAGACGGTAAATGTTATTTTTTTGTCGAGAGACTTTAACTCTGAAGCCTTGAGTACAAAGTTTCTGGGAGTTTACTTGGACTCGCGTCTTCTTTGGTTTGGTCAAGGAGAGGCGATTGCTACTAAACTCAACTCTAATTTATATTTGCTGCGTAGTTTATTGTATAAACTATCACTAAGATATCTTAGAATTGCCTATTTTTCTTTAATAGAATCAATATTATGGTATCCTCCCATGGGGCCACTCGACCATTAAGACAAGAATTTTTAGTTCACAAAGGCGAGCCATAAGGATTATAGCAGGTTTAGGATATCGTGATGACTGTAAACAGTGTAACTTGTTAACTTTTCCCAGTTTGTATATACTCGAATGTTTAATCTATATAAAGAAAAATATCAATAACTATTATCCACTCGAACATAATATAAAATTTTTCAATGCTTTACCTCTTTACGTAACGGCACTGGATTTTAAATCGTTTTAAATATCTGTTAAGAGGTATCTGTTTACACTTTACAAACTTTTTATATTTTAAAATTTAAATCATAATATATTATATTGTTAGTGAACGTTGTAATGACGAAATTAATTGCATTTTGTGACAATACATTTACCATAAAAAAGCGACATTTATGAAAAAAATTAATTAAATTAATTAAATATACAAAAACATGTAGTGTATGCCATTGCGGAGGGGGGCTGACGACCGAATTGGGGGGCTACAGCCCTCCCTAAAAAGTCCTAGCTACACCACTGATAATAATACAAAATATGTTTTAGTTTTATTTTATAAATAAAGCAATTAGAGCATAAGTTTTAAGTATAAAATTTAAAAAAAATCACTTTTTTTGGTGTAGGATATGCTAAATTCGCCAGGGT